AGAGGTTCTCCGCCACCACAGCTTTGCCCCCACAAGAGGTTCTCCCCCACCACAGCTTTGCCCCCACAAGAGGTTCTCCGCCACCACAGCTTTGCCCCCACAAGAGGTTCTCCCCCGCTGCAGGCTTGCCCCCACCACAGGTTCACCCCATGTCAGCCATTGGCAAGCACTGGCGCAGAGCTCCCAGCCTGACAAGCAGCCCGGCTCCCGTCCGCAGGCCCCTCAAGCTGACCCTGCAGTGGTGTCGGAGGACAGCAAGATCAACACACTGCTCTCCTACCTCAGCTGGGCTTGGCACTGGCCCCCAACGAGTGTAACAGCCCTCCATGCAGCTGCCCCAGAAGATGGAAGAGAAAAAAAGTAAGCCTAAAAAAAAAATAATGTTCTGAGCAGTCATGAGGCAGATCTTGTGAGAAACTTTTCTAGGAATCAACAGTCTTCACTTAACCTCTTTTCCCAGTCAACCAACTGAAATTTCTGTGCCAGAATGAATGGAAATCTTTTTTCAGTTATAGCACAGAAAAGATTAAGTAGCTAACTTACAAGTAAGGCACGTTTTATGTTCTCTGTGTCGCTTGTGGTGACAGTCAGAAATTTGATATCTTCAGTGTGGTCAAAGAATGCTGCCTTACTTCTCTGTGGTGTTATTACAGTAAAGATGTCTTGCTTTATCTTGCATCTGTTGAGAAACAGATTCAGTAATTTTTTTACCTAAAAAAGGCTTCATTTTTTTCCTAAATAAATTAGTTTAGTTGCAGTAGTGCTGTATTGACAGCATTAATTAAAAAAAGAGAGAAATGTGAGCTAATAGAAAGTGGGGGTTATGTAGGCTCAGCTGAATAAGCTGGAAAGTATGGGTCATCTCATGACAGGTTCATGCTTGAGGGATAATAAGAAATGACCTATGTAAAAAAAATTTCCTCACACAGCTTGTTTCATGTGAGTGTTCTTCAGCTAGGTCTTGACAAGACGTGGGATGATTCTTTGAAAGTGGGGTGACTATTTCACCACAACGCTTTCTCACACAGTGGTCCCACTGATACCTGCTGTAGGATTTACTTGTATAAATTTTGAAAATCTAAGTAGCTAAAAGCATTTTAATTTCTCATCTGATCTCTTACTTGTCCATTCTGCACATCTTGCAGTACTGTGTGACTGCTTTGAAGTGGAGAACCTTACCAGTTCCAGGGGGGAGAGGACTGAAGGTAGTGTAATTTGGATTTATGGAGGGGAAGGAGGAGGTAGTATATATTTGGCACCACTTTGTGAAAATGGTAACCGGAAGACAGTAGTTTTGCCTTTTATGGTGTATGTGTAAGATGTTAGTCAGCAGCACTACAGCTCCTTTACAGGAAACATGCACCCAAGTATTTTTTCTGGTAGCTGGCATAAGTAGCCCTGGCCTTGGCTGCTTTTTTCTTGCTCTAGCATCATTCTCCTGCACAATGCTGAAAAAAGAGAGATATGGCCACAAGGATCCTATAGAGGGAAAAGAAAATCCCTCCAGAGGTAATGGCCTCAGCCAGGTTTAGAACTATTGCTACCAGATGCCAGTCCACACCCTGAGTCATCAGCTGGTGAGATCCTTTTGAATGCTGGCAAGGTAGATGCATCCTGTGTCTGTTCACTCCCTGTCCTCCTGGCTGGGGTTGACAAGAACAGCATTAACACTGGATAGATTTGTGATGTGGCAATCTGTCTTTTTTTAAATGAAAATTATACTATAAATTTCATATGCAATCTTTGCTTCTCCATGCAAAACCAAGGTTTTGCTGCTAGAGTTTCAGGGCACTCCAGCATGAGAAGTGGGGAAGCATTTCCAAGGTGAGTGAGTGGTTTGAGCACTACACATAATAGTGTATGTTTTATTTCCTTTTGGCCTACACAAGGTTATAACTGATGATCCAGAAATGAAAAACTGTGTTCTGTCACCCATCCTCTGAAGTAATCTATTTACCAGTGCTATCCAGTCTTAGTAAATGTATTGAAATATCTGAAAACAGGTAAGAAATAAGGACAGCAGTTTTAATCTGCAGTGGTGGAACTTCTTACTAGGATTTTTGAATGTATATTTTTAAGCACACATTAAATATACTTATTTCTCAGTATTTTAAATTTGTGATACTGTCATGCACAGCAAAAGGATGGGAATGGCACAGGGCAGATGTTGTCTCCTGGAGCAGTAGTGTAGGTTTCCAAAAAGTGTTGTGGGCATTTTTTGTAATGGGTCTTTGACCTTTCCACATTATTTTTTTTTTTTAATTTCTGTGAATATAAAAGTTCATGAAATTATGTTGAGAGTTAGTGCCAAATTAGTTGTTTTACAAGATAAAGTACTTTCAAGATTGCCTGTTGATATTAAGTATTATGCTCATAGCTGCTGGTGACATAAGCAGCTGGGGTTGTCGTGACAAAAGATTACTTTCTTCACTGCTATCGTGATGCTTTTGAGAGTAACCATAGAATCTGTACTGCCATAGCATTACTTCGCTTCTGGTGTCTTGGGCAACAGAAGTCATTCTCTGGAATGACTTTGGAAATACTTTTTTACTAGCCTTACAAGAATGCAGTATTTCATGACTGCTGGGGAGGTGTCACCCTAGCACATTTGCCAGCCAAGATTTGCTGTCTGAAAGTGGAATGTAAACCTAGTATGGTGACAGTGGACTCTACCTCTAGAAATGGAGTAAGAAAACAGATTTACTTGTTCTTTTGTGCTTGATTATTGAAGAGGAGAAACGTTAACTATGAGAGAGTGAGCCTGTTCTCTTTTCTGGCATTGTCTGTTGACACACTGAACCATATTCCCTTTTCAGAGTCCTTGCCAAAGATGCACCGCTAATGTTTTAAAAAAGGCTTTCATGAGTGGGCTTGGTACCTCAAAGGTACATACACTTGGAAGAGAAGAGGTTCTGAACCAGTAGCTTAAAAAGCATTTCTTTAAACAAAATGTTCTTTATAAATATTTCTAGTGGAGGAAGGAGGCACAGTATAAGGGGTGTATTAATTATTGCAACTGATATCACTTGGTGAACAAAATTTATCAAACTGCTTTTATCTGAAAATATTTTGAACCTTTTTTCCCCAGAAAACATACAAAAAATATTGATAGGACAGAATAGTCAGCTTGTGTAGCTAAGGGAGGTTACAACTGTAAAAAAATTTCCAAATGCCTTTTGTTTAGTAATATGTTCAGTTCATTCAGTTGGAAATTCTCTCTTGTGTCCCTTCTGTAGTTTCAATGGTGATTAATTTATAGTGGGACTAGTTTGCAGGTGTTTGGAGAAAGTCTACAAAGGGTGCTGTGGGAGCCTTGCTTGAAAAATTACTTGAAGGAGCATCGTGGACCATCAGAAGCCACTCCAGTTCATCACTTGACTTCTCTTTAGCTTTCATGATTAGATTTATGAGTAGACTTCTGAAGGTTTAAGCCTACAAAAGAAGATAGCTGTCCTGGCTGGTTTTTCAGAAGTGCCTCCCAATGAAATGAGTGGGAGCCTTTGAAAAGCCCACTAGGAGCTACTTGTGGTTTTAGACTTCTTGGGAGTTGTACAGACTTGTAAACAGAAATCTGCATTTCAGGTGATGTGAAGACGTTTTGGACACAACTGGGAGGTAGAAGAGTAGACGTCATATTTGAGCAGGTGCAAAATGTGCTGCTGTTGCTAAAGCAAAAGATCAAGAATGGAACTGCCACAAACCAAGGTTTGAAATCCTTGTAACAGTTAAGCTGTACTGCAGGGGAGCTGTGTGATATCTGCCACAATTCAAATATCTCTGAATTTGAATTACTTAGGAGTTGGAGTTTTTAAGCACTTTAAAAAATACATCTGCTTTTTAAAAAACAGACTAATCATTTCAGGTGCATTTTGCCATTTTCTCATTTTGCCTGTATACTTTTTCAAACAATGCATGGCTCTTAAGCACATGGAACTGAAGTGTTTCTTCTTGAGAAGTAATGAAATATCTGCAGTGCCTTGTGTTCTGTTCATCATCAGAAGTTTTAGCCTTTCAAGGTGATCTCAATGAACTGAATGGTGTTGGGGTGGGATTATAATTACATAAGTATTATTTCATGTTGGAGGCACCGTTATAACTTGAAACGTTAGTAGAAAAATGTGACAGCAATGCCTTTAAGATTGTTCCTGGTTTTCATGGAAATAAGTTTCCTTTACATCAAAATTGGAAGTCTGATAAGCTTAGAGCAGTACACGGTTTTCTTTTTACTGGTTTATTTAATTCAGAAAAATTACTCTTTTTTTATTAAGTTGCCCACATAAATGTAATCTGTGGATCTTACTGCTTTTTTTATGCAAGAAAGTGTACAGTAATGTAAGATGCTTTTAAACTGGTATAGCCACACAGTCTGCATTGTACTGCTCGCTCTAAATTGGTAGCGCAATTTTTTGTGTACTTAAGCTCCCACATCTTGATTTTTATGACACAATATTACAGCAGTACCTAGATAAAAGTTGAACTTGAATCTCCAGGTGACACAATGGATCTGTAACATAGCTAAATTCAAATTTTCCTATGCTTCATTCTGTAAAGATTTCAAACTAAAGTATTAAGATGGATTTTGCTGACTCTTGTCTGCCACCTTGTAATATTTATTGCATGGGGTAAGAGGTTGAGACAGAACTGGTTTCTTCTTTGTGTTCTTACTATCTGAAGGCCATTTCCACCAGTTTAGGAGTAGCATTAATTTGGTCCAGCCCTTCTTAGCCAGAAGATGACTAGTCTGATGACAAAGTAAAGAGAGAAACTTAACACTAAATTGTGTTTATGTATATTACTGCCACTAGAGGCTACTGGTTTGTGTGTGTTTGGAAACATTCCAGCAGCTTTCCAAAAGCCAGAGGATGTTTGGTGCTGATTCACAACTCCTAATACGAGCTGTAATTTTATTGTAATTCATAGATGTGTCTGTTAAGGACTGTGGTGCAAAAGGTTTCTAATAGTATCAGTCTTGCAGTGCTCTAGATTAGCATAGTGAGGAAACAAGTGTCTCTGGAGGACTTACACCTTGTTTTCCCTGTTATCATTTTCCCTATTATCATTACTTAAATTACACTTCGTATCTGTTTTGTTTTGGTTTTTGCATAGAATGCTGGCAGGCTTGGGCACTGGTGAATGAAGCTAATCTAGGTGATCTCTTAACCTTGACAAATGGTATGTGCAGCTCGATTGTATTTATTTGGTATGTGGATTTAATTTGTCTCGTTTTACTCACCAGGAGCTTGTTTCCCTTCGTTGAAATCAGTAAAATAGATCTGAGAAGCCTGTTAGCATTACAAGGGAAAAAACGTAATTATTAGTTTCCTCAGGTACTGGACTGTGGACTCTCACCTGGATTTGTACTTTTGTGGTTTGTGTGTATGTGTTTATGGCTTGTACCAAGGGAAGCGAGTTTGAACTAGTAAGCCCTGATGAATCCGAGCTGGGTGCAAGCAGAGTCATCTTCTGCATGGCTCCACTAGCTGTAATACCCTGGTGTAGTGGGTTAACCCCAGCCAGCAAGTAAGCATCATGCAGATGCTCACTCACTTGCCCCGCACCCAGTGGGATGGGAGAGAGAATTGGCGGGGAAAAAAAGTAAAACTCTTGGGTTGAGATAAGAACAGTTTAACAGGACAGAAAGGAAGAAAATAATAATAATAGCAATAATAAAATGGCAATAATAATAATAATAAAAGAATTGGAATATACGAAACAAGTGATGCACAATGCAATTGATCACCACTTGCTGACCGATGCCCAGTTAGTTCCCAAGCAGCGATCCCCCCTGCAGGCCAACTCCCCTCAGTTTATATACTGGAAATGACATCACATGGTCTGGAATACCCCTTTGGCCAGTTTGGGTCAGCTGCCCTGGCTGTGTCCCCTCCCAACTCCTTGTGCCCCTCCAGCCTTCTTGTTGGCTGGGCATGAGAAGCTGAAAAATCCTTGACTTAGTCTAAACACTACTTTCTTCTCATACTGAACCCAAAACACAGCACTATACTAGCTACTAGAAAAAATTAACTCTATCCCAGCCAAAACCAGGACACCTGGCATCCTTTTACCTCAAATAATGAAGAGAAATCTATATATGTGTTTCATATGTGTGTTGTCTCCATGCACTTTGAAAGCTACATGGAAGATTTAAATGTGCAGATCACCTGGGGGTCTGTGAAAAAGGGTAAATCTTCATGATGCATTTCTGCCTCAAGTTTGTCAATGCACACCTAAGTTTTCCTGTTTGGGGAAAGGGAAGGAGAGAGAGGGAGGGAGAGGAGGAGCAGGAGAGAAAGTGTGAGAGTGTGTGTCATGTGTCAGCGAGTCACTTGCTTGCACACCTATATGCAAACACATTACTTTTGTATGAGTTATAAAAAGCAGTTTCCTTTTTTAGTAGCGCACTTGCTAGCATGCTCTTTGTTAGCCGTAGTTCATAGCAATGCATTGTTTTTCATGTATTTTGGCAATTATCTCTTTAGTAACTAAAGTAAGTTCGATTATAAATTGAAATGTGTATTGCTGAAGTTTTTGCTTGCATTCAAATTTTTTCAGTAAGTGATGTGTTTGACGGAGATGGCAGACAGCAAACCAAACCCGGATTTCAGCATCTTACAGATGACAACGCTGCAGACTCCGCACCAGGTTCTCACAGGTCAGTGTATTAATAGTTTATTCCATTTCCTTATTTGATATATTCTTTAGTGCATATGAGAGAGATTAAAATCTCTTGTAATTTTAAAGTCAACATTTTAAATCCAGTTTTGAAACCTGCCAGTTTTCAAAGTGAAAATATTTTTAACTTGACCTACATGGAAAACCTGAGGTTTTGAGTAGACTTCGCTAATTTACTATGTAAGAACTTCGCAGAATAAAACAGGGCATTAGATTGTGAACACAGATCCATGAGTATTACCAGGATTATCAGGGTTAGGACTTAACAGTTTTTTAGTTCAGTTCTCAGGCTTTCACAGGCTGTGCAGATTGTCAGGCACACGACTTAGTCTCTCTGTATTTAGCCTCAGGTACTGATTTGGAAGATGGGGGTGAAGACATTGTTTTCTTTTTTTTTTAAGGTACTTTCTGTGTTTTAGTATGTAAGTTCTTTCTGGGAAGAAGCTGTTGCCTTTTTTTTTTTTTTTTTTAATGCCACTGAATATGTCTTCATATGTTAGGACAGTAACACAATGCGAACAGTGATTCAGTGAAACCCTTGCCTTTATAGCAAGGCTGTTTCTTTCCTGCGCTAATAATATTGAACTACTAAAAACCCGAGCATTTTACTGGTTGTCTAAGATGCTGCTCTTTTTTCTTTTTTTTTTTTTTTTTCTTTTTTATTCCAAATAGCAAAAAGGAGGAGATGGAAAAAACAGGTTCCGGGAGTAAAGCAGCATCTAGTAAAATTCAAGATTTACCTTTAAACCTGCAGTACCAGAACCACAAGTGCTCTAGTGCATGTCTTGCCAACAGAGCAGCGGGTTCCTACAAGGGTGAAAATCCTCTTAAGATGCCAATCCTGTTTGACTTTCAAAGACGCCATGCAAAAGCAGACTGCCTTTCAAAATCACTGGATGTGAATTATAAAGCTCCTTGTGGTCGAAGTCTGAGAAGCTTTCAAGATGTGCAAAATTATTTGTTTGAAACAGAATGCAATTTCTTATTTGTTGATCACTTCTCCTTCAACACATACGTACTGTTGGGCCGGAACACCGTAAATCCCGAACCCCTCGTGTTTGATTTTGATATTAGCAATGGAGCCGAGTCTGTGCCAGTTTCCTTCTGTAATGATCTTGACCGCGCAAGATTACCTTATTTCAAATATCGGAGGGCATCGTGGCCACGCGGATATTATCTCAACAATTTCTCCACCATGTTTGTTGATTCATGTGACTGCACAGATGGCTGTATTGATAGGTAGGTAGAAAAATCTAATCCCAGACAAGTGACACATGATACCTCAATAGTAGGGTGGTGGTGTAAGTCTGAAGGCACGCAGTACCAAACAGTGCCAAATAACGAAGGACCAACGCTGCTGGAATATCTGTGGTAGTTGTCTTGTGCCGTGCTCTGTGTTGACTGACACCACTGTGTCTTTGTCTTCTCCAGAACTTGGGTGCTCCTACCCGTCCAGCCTCTGTTGTAGGGAAGGAAGCGATCAACAGGTGGATTATTGTGTTCCTTTCCCTTTCTTCCCAAATTGGCAGTGCTTCTCCTCCAGGTGGAGCTGGCAAGCAGATCTCTCGGCTTGGGGAAGGGAGTGGGGAAGGGAGAGTCTTGTGCCAGCAGAGGAAGGCTCGTTTTCCTGGCAGGCAGGGAAGGATCCTGCATGACAACTTCTGCTGCAGCTCCTGCTGTGGGATGGTATCCTAGAGATGGGATGGGACAGCCTGGAGAGATCAGATCATTTGGGACTTAGGAGGTTACTGAGGGCAGAGGAAGAAACATCCCTGTTCGCAATCTCTATATCCCAGCCTTCCCCTTGTCTAAACAGAAACTGAGAAACCCCGTGGTCACAGAACGCATTTATGTTCTGAGCAGTTCAAATGGTATCACTCATTGCTGTCTCTTTCTAAAGCCCAGTAACTCTGGGTTACATATTACTCTGTGGGAACCTGCCAGTTAACATATGCGAGTTTGGTGATTATTTTGTCCGCTTTCTTGAAGGGTGTTTGTCTTTGACCGGCTCTTTGCCTGTAGGTCTTATTTGGTGTTGAATTTATTTTGTATTATTGATAACTAGGGCAGTTGTATGTGCTGGTGTGCAGTATAATTGCGCATGACCCAACAAAAGCTTGAAATCACAGCCTAGTACAATGAAGCTTCAGTAATTAAAGTTATTTAGTTTCAGCTGAACAGTGGGGAACAGCAAGCACATAACATGCTGCTTCTTTGCACTGAAATTCCCCAAGAGTTGAGAGGCTTTTGATGTGCAATGTTGGAGTTCAGGACTCGGTCCGTTGCTGTTTGCACAAACGCTGTGGGTCTTTGGAGTTGTCATGACATAAGATGGTGAAGACCAGCGTTATTGCTTGAGTTCTCCACTCTGTAGTGTGAAATTCTTCACTTCCTGGGGGCTATGGTGAGAGGAAGGTAACAAAGTAGTGCCTAACAGGCTGGGGTGCTGTGCCAGAACAGGTGATTTTTGTTCATTCATTCATTCATTCAATCCATTTAACAGTGTCCTGTTTATAATAACTTTCTGTTGTACTTCAGCTGTTTGCATGTGCCTTTTAAGCAGCTTGGCAGAAGAATGGGGTTGGGGCAGAGAGAATATAGTTATTGTAAAGCACGTTTAACCAGGCGAGAGACAAAGAGAAGGGCAGGGTGAAATGGCCTTGTGGAGTAAAAGGGGTGGGGGCAAATACAGGTATACATAAAAGCGTGTGTGTATAGTCAAGTACATTTTAAATTATCTAGATTTATGTTTGATTTACACTGCCCCAAATACATTCTGAGATGTTTTACTGTTATTTTTTTAGGTCAAAATGTGCATGCCTACAGCTAACTGCAAGAGGCTGTAGTAAAATTTCTCTATCGCCCAGTAGTAAAACATCCTGTGGATACAGTTACAAAAGACTGGAGGGACCTGTTCCTAGTGGGTAAGACAGACTGAACTGTTAGCTGTTATTTTATTTGTATGCTCTTATTTTACTCCTGTAGTGTAAGTGCTGCAGGACTAAAATAACTGCAGCTTCTGGATTACTGAAACCTTCCATTTTTTGTCACAATTTTACTGACAGATCAGGGTGATGAAAAATAATCAATGTGACTTGAGTAATAGGAGGAAAAAAGCACTTTGGTACTGCAGATACTACAATTTTCACAGCTTAGTTCAAGGTCCAAGAAGAGTGTGAAGAGTAACATAGTATTAGCTGGTCCAGGAGCTCAGACCATATCTGGCCCATGTGTTGGTTCATTTGGGCATGGCAAGGAGAGAAGAGAGAGGGGAAGGAAACCTGCCACAAGAGAAGGTCTATCATCACAAGACCATCACAGCATGTATCAGCCAAAGAAGTAGGAAGCAGTAGCCACCCTTGGTTTTTGCCCTGTATCTTGTCCACCCGTTTGCTCTGTAGGACCAAAGTCCTAGAGAAATATCAGCCAGCTGCTGTTGCCAGTCTTGGTTATGTGTGACTCTTCCAAGAGTCTCCAAGGCCATTCCAGTGCTGCAAGTGTCCGCCCTTTGTCTTATTTAGCTCCTGTGGATTAATATGTGGCCTGGAGAAGGTGCCAGTAACCTCAGTTGTTCAGGAGAGGAATTGTGCAAGGTAGCTTTCTGCAATAGCCAAGGGCTGAACCTGCAGGCTTAAGGAGCCCCTTTCAGTCCTTTATTGCTGTGTGATGTTAGTTTATGGTTGACATGCAGATTTAAAGCTGCCAGTGAACCCAGAAACAAATGCAAAAAAACCCACAATTGTGAATTCTTTTAGAAATATTTTGTTAAATCCTGAAACTCATGACAGCTACAGTGAGGTCCAGGCAGACAGGTTGTCTTTGCTAAAATCTGTTCCAGCATAGAATGAGGTGCTTCATAGGGATTTCTGCTTCTGTGTGATTTACTGCTATAACATAAAAAGGTAACATCTGTTTTTTCTTGTCTACTTATATCAAAATCCAGCTGACAGACTCTTAAAATTGATGAATCAGCAATCAAGAAAGTCATGAGCTTCAGAGCACTGTTGCATAATCAGTGTTAGCCAGACTCTTTATCTTTTCAGTTAACTGCCTTATTAATGGTCAGGAGGGAAATTTATAATAGCATCTTTGTTTTGGTAGTGCATTCTTTCATATCGTGTTTTGTTTTGCTTCCTCTTGACAGAATTTATGAGTGTAGTGTGTTGTGCAGGTGTGACAAGATGATGTGTCAGAACAGAGTTGTACAGCATGGCATTCAAGTCAGGTTGCAAGTGTTCAACACAGAGAAGAAAGGCTGGGGTGTCCGCTGCCTAGATGATATCGACAAAGGGACGTTTGTTTGCACTTACTCAGGTAACAGAAGATGACCTGTGGAAATGTGTAGCATAATTCTCCCTCTCCTGTGCCCTGTGCCCTGGAATTTTTTTGAGAACCAAACGGGGGAATACGGGGTTGGCAGAGAAGTGAGTCAATATAATCTTAACTTGCAAGATGATCAAATGGACAGAAGAACCTTGAAGAACTCTGCAATGCAATGGTGCCAGACAAACAATCAAAACATTATGGAGCAAAGCCTATCTCAGACTGTTGATTTTTCCCTCACAGGCCTGTGCATCCTGTGCCAGGGTTAGTTTTCCTTCAGTATAAATGCATTCATATTTTGCTTTCCCAAATAATTTTAATGTATTTTTTTAATGTAAGTTTGAGCTGCTATAGTGAGTGCAAGCCATCTTAGCAAACAAACAATTTAAAGAAAAAAATCTTTTCTTTTTCTTTCAGGCAGATTAATGAGCAGAGCTGAAGTTCAAGTACTGGGAGATGCTGGTCAAGAGCTGAAAGAGAAGAGTGCTGTGAATGACAGAGGCCACGGCTTTTTTTCCAAAAAAAGAAAACTTGACAGTGATTGTTCAGACTCTGTGATTGAACTAGTGCAGACTGGCAAAAATGACATTTTTGAGAAGCAGGAATCTTTGTCTCAGACTGTGGACAATGAAAATAAATCAACCCTGTAAGTTTACCAAAGCAAACTTAAGTGTAACAAAACTAATGTTCTGCTATTCTAGGAAGTCCTTCGTTAAACTTGGAGTACAACTGAATGTCCTCAGCTGAGGGTGTCTTTTTTCTTTCCTCAACTTTTTTGTTAATTCCTGATTATTTCTTCTAGTGGGACAGAGTTTTTCCTCTGTATTAGTTTTACTTACTGTGTGTACCACTTGGCATTTTCTAGAAACCCAGTTCATCTCCTGGGTGTACTTGATCGGTTCAGGGAATTAATCATTGTGCTAATTTGAAAGAATTAATAAAAGATACTCGAGATAAATGATTTAAAGATACTTGATGACACTGAAGGGTTTGATAACAAATTAGCCACTAACTCTCCTGTCTTTTGCTCCCAGTCTCTAAACCTCTTGTTCTTTGTAACATAACCTTTCCTGCTAGGAATCTTAACCTTTTCCATTAGGAGTCTGGCACCACCTCACTTTTGCAGTGAATTATGCAAAAGTTCTGGTCCTGTTTTCATTTTACAGTCAGGGTCTCATGGCCTATCAGGACTCCTGAAATAAAATCACCGCAAAGTAACCATGTGGCTTTGTCAATAGCATGCTGTAGTCTTTTCAGAAGGAAGTTGGAAGCTTGTTTTCTTAAACTTTATTCCTCGCTCTGCCAGACTACTTTGTAAATACTTACTTTGTACTACTGGTAAATGATTGTAAATTCTTGCTCATTTCATAGTAGAAGGTGATTGTGGATCTTTGAGAAGCACCATGAAATTGCAAATGGAAACTTTTTAAAATACTTTCCAGTATATTCTCACTTGCATTTCAGTATCTTGGAAACCTAATGAACTCATAATTTTGTAAATTACATAATTATCAGCAATCAGCTATATTTTACTTCTACTAAGTGCTGTTACCAAAAATTGCAGGGAAGCACAGTTTTAAAGTTGTGTTTACTGCACTGCTCCCTTAAATCTCATAAATTTCCTTTCCTGAGAATAAAAATGTTTCGCATGTGGACTGTGTAAAAAATATGACAGACAAAAAGACTTTGTTATTCTGCCTCTTAAGAAATGACAGTCCAGCTGAACTGAGAAACCTTTGAAAGGACATCAGTGTGCTAAGCGTGACATGCCATTCACCCAAACACATTTCCTTTAAAAGGACAAACAATGTAATCATGTAATAATGTCACAAATTCTTGTGGCTACTGCATCTTTTGCATTTACAAAGGGGTTTAAATCTTCAGAAAGCCTTAAAGAGTAGCATTTGTTGCCATTATCTCTAGACCAAAGAAGTACCGTGGTGGTTTTTTGTGCCAAGAAAACATTTATAAATGTTTTATGTTGAAAGTTTTCTTGAATAAGAGCTGTTACTTATTGCTAGACATTATACAGATATTAAGATTAGTTTTGAAACTGGTGTTTTCTACTGCACTCTGAGCGTAATCCAAATGAATGTGATTTTAGAAGTTTTAAATGTATATGCCAGATACTGCTTCTCAACCTTCCTCAACCTTCTTCTGATGTGAAGGAGTGAGGTTCTTTTGTGGGAGAGTATTTTCTATATGTGCCATATATTGCCTGTCTCCCTCTCTATCCCTTGTTCCCCACAGCATCTTTGCTTTCCTGTTTGAAAGCTGTACTGTCAAAACTGTTGAAAGTTGTAGCAGGAAAAAGGCAAAACTCTGTCTGTAGGTGCTCTGTTTTGAGATGATCTGATATAATAATAGTAAAACAATAGAGAATTTTGTTCCCAGCAGGAGAACTGGGAAAGGATGCAAAAGCAGCTGCTGGTCTCTCCAAAAAGTATGAACAACTGGTTTTTTACAAATGCTATTGAGAACCTAACCTAGGTCCTCAATTCTTAAAGGCAAAATAGTCACAGAACTTGAGGTGAGGCCAGACTGCAGGCTCTGGTGTAATCTGTTCTTTATGAACTAGAGACTGTTAGAGAAATGTGTGTTCTGAGAGTTACTTATGGGTCTTTTTGTCTTTTATAATTTCCTTTTGACCTTTCTGTACAGGGTTCATCCAAGGAATTTAAGTATTGCAACTTCAAGAAGGCCTGGAACTAGAACAGTTGTTTTCCATAATCACCATCTAAAAATGGTAATAATAATAAGTGGCTTTAATAGATTAATTTTTCACTGTGCTGAATAGGTATGTTAATTTTGACCTTTTCTTCTTATACATTTAAATAGTTCTAATGATCTTTCTTCATGAGATTGTGTCACACTGTGAGCTAAGCTGGTGTGCTGGAAGCTGTGCCCCATCCGTTCTCCATTATCAGTCCTTCAGCATGTTCCCTGAGACCAGCACTAACTACTCTCACAGCCTTCCCTTCTCCACCCTTCACTTACACTCCAGCCTTGAGAGTCTTAAGAAATCATTCTCCCCCTCCGCCCCCTGTTGTAACTAACTGCTGGGTTAGGGGGTCAGAGTGATAATATTTTTGTGATGTCTCCCCAAAGAATGACATAGCAGGGAGAGAAGAAAATCTCAGGAGTTGGATGCAGTTTTCTCATGCAGTGGCACAGTTGGGACAATTTGATCTGACCTGGGTGTGAAGTGTTGCCTGCAAATACGTGCAAAGGAGGGAAACTGGAGTAAACTTACTCTGTAGGTTTCATTGGTTTCACTGCACTTAAGAAATGCATATGGGATTTTCATGCTAACATTTGGCAGTGCTGTCCATTCTGGAGCTCCCATAACTAATTGCCTTTTTGTGGTGGGAGAGGAGAAATCCTGCCACATCTGTTCATTTTATTGAAACTGTGTAAAAAGCATGTTTGGGCTTTGGTTCAGCATCTTACACAAACATGCTTAAATTCTGGTGAAACTGTTGGGACTTAAGCACTTATTTAAATGTTTTATTGAGTGGGGAGCTCCTTCCAGGTTATTCTGAAGGATAATTTGAATTTAAGATAAATATTGCATTGCAGTATATGTATGAACCTTTGAAACTTAGCCATAGACATGCATTATAGTAAGTTTGAAACTAAAACCCTAGAGTCGTAAAAGCCACTTGCTATCCTGTGTTGACCCAGAGTTGCATACAGCAACAATACATCACAGCCTTTTCATTATCTTTTATTCTGTTTAAAGGAAATTGATACACTGGTGCACAGTGCCAGCTCAGATGAAGATAATAGTTCTCAGATTCATCAGTCAAGCAAAACAAAACTAACCAGTGGAACAAAGAAAGGAAAAGAAAGTAGGTTTGCAGAGCTATAAATACTGCACTCTTAGTACACTTGTGCGCCATCAGGTGATAGACTTAAAGTGTATAAAGTGATCTTCGGATGTGGGCAGGCCTGTTCTCAGAGTGGCATGATGTTGTCTGCATAATGCTTAGGCTGTCTTAAGAGAGCTCAGTGGTACAGAAATTATTGCTGCCTTGCATATTACAGTGCACTAACTGGTACAGGGCAATCTTTTGCCTGCAAAGTTGATCTTGGGACATGTTGAACAGTCCTAACAGCAGCTTCTCAAATACAGCGCAACTGGGGGAAAGTCAGTCTTGTGAATCTTATTGTGTCACACCCAATACATGTTCCAGTCAACAAAAATTGAACAGGATATAATGCAGGAGTGGGGGGACCTCAAGCTGGAAGAGCCAGTGTGAAATTGATGGTATTTGCACATGCATTTTGTTTCTATATTAATCACAGTTTATGATTCTCTCAGGAATTAAGGTGGAGAATGATGATAAAATGCTATGTGGAAGAAGTCAGTCTGGAGTGGGATTTGAGAAGAACAAGAGACTAGATCTCTCACAGGAGACTTGAGCAAGTGCTTTAGGCACCACAGCAGGAAACAGTCGTTTGCGGGAGGATTGATGAGAGGCGTGGAAGAGGGCAGTTGTGTTATAGACTTGTAAATAGCAAGGAAGCTGCGTACATTTTGGAGAACGAAGGGTGGGTGGATAAGAGTTCAGGGCCAAACAAGGGAAAGGCCTTAAACTGGCATTGAAGAATAACTTACGTGTCCATTGACAGAATCCACTCAGCAGCGGAAGGAAGAACATCTGATGGAGGTTGGACAGACTGAGTCTGCTGACATGAACAGTGCAGAATGCAAAAGAAAGGGTCTGTCTCTGCAGGGTGTTGATTGTGGCAAGTCAGGTGTGCTGGATGATACGTGTATTGTGAAGCCATCCAAAGATGTACCACTAAAAGCTGACTGCAAAGAGGAAAATCACAGGCAGTCAAAACAGGATGCGTTTTGTGAGGAGGCTGACGGTGATAGGACGCTTCTGAAGAATGCTAATGAAGAAAATATTTATGTACTGGATGCTACAAAAGAAGGAAATGTGGGTCGTTTTCTTAATGTAAGTAAAAAGTTTGCATGTGTTTTCTTAGTTGTCTTAGCTTAAATAAATAAATGGTGTATTTCCATAAATTAGAAGGCCTTTGTGCGTAAACTGTATATGTGGAAGGTGCATGACAAGGCAGGCTATGTGGTCCTCCCTGGACTCTAAAGTGACAGAACAGCAGGTTGGGTCACACTGGCTGTTAGTGCCTCCGTAAGATGATGCATGCTATGTACTACCTGTAGTTTTTGGCACCACCAGGTTCCCGAGTGAAATATTCCCCAGTAATGAGTGACGTGTTTCCCCTAAATTTTTGAACAGCCTTTTTTGGGGTTCCAGAGAGCAAATGGCACATTTTGTTGAATGACAAGCCTTATGCCAGCCTCGTTTTTTGTTCCCCAACCATTGTAAATTCTAGCTTGTGCTAATTTAGGATAAGTGGTACGATATTGTAGGAAATTTCTCTATCGTTCAATCATAGGTTCAGAAAGTGTTCTTCATACTGTATACGTATCAGCTAAATAAGTCTCTCAGTTTTGACTTGCCAAGAAATAGTAGTGAATTACCAAGTACCTCCAACTAAGACAAATGTTTCATAGGCACGTCTGCATGTACTCTGCAAGTAACTTAGTTCTCTTCACTGGCATGAATATGTGTCCTACAGCAAAATCCTTGTACGTGTTTAAGCTATTCTTCATTGCAGAGGTAATATGGTGTTAAGGTTAGTAGTGCATCTTGCTGAAACCTTTCTTCTGCATCCATGACCATAGACATGTTCCTATGTGCACCTGCATGACCTTTCACATCTCTTTGCCAATATACGCAATCATTTAATCTATTACTTGCTCCCTAGCATTGCTCTCCTGGCTGACAGCAAGATATATCTGTCACATAGTGATTGTTTGTGGTGCATTCTGAATCAAAGATGAATTCTCACCATAAATTTCTGGAGGACAGCTTGGTAAAAGAACTTGGTTTTCCTAGGCAAAAGTACTTTCATAATACAATGGAAATAATACTTCAAAGAGACGTAGTTACTGCAAAAATAAGTGGCGATGGCACTGAGTAGTAGAGATTCTGTGTGGGCTGGAGAAGGGAGGGAAGAAACTACCTTTACTAGTGACAGATACCTGACACAAAATAGGTTATTCAGCCAACGACAAGGTGTTTCACTTTTTCTAATTCAAATATTCTGTTTTACAGCACAGCTGCTGCCCAAATCTCTTCGCACAGAGTGTGTTTGTAGAAACTCACAACAGAAGTTTCCCGTGGGTGGCGTTCTTCACAAACAGGTGAATTTTTGGAAGTTTAATGGTGTTCATTCAAGGCACTAGTGGAAAAAGCAGTGCTCAGTTATTAGGAAAAAATTATGCTAAGGGGGGGCAGATGCTTAGATCATGAAACCATAAAACTACTTTCTTACCTTCTACTATAAAACTGACTTCTGACTGTGCACCAAAGACTGGAGGAATACAGCTGTTGATTATCACTAATCGGTTTTGCACTGAAATGTAAACTGAGGAAGCTTAATTTGATGTGTCCGCTTCAGCAATAATCTTCTTCAGTGGAAAAATAGGTTTAACTCAGCATGGTCATTTTGAAAGCCAAGATTCACTGATCCCAGTGTTGTGTCTCAAGGAATGACCAGCTGATCTGGGTCCCATAGGGCAGGATTGGACCCTACAGGGTCTTAAGGCTGAGGCTCCAGGCCGCCTCCTCGCAGCTACCAAGAGAAGCAGGACTTTGTGTAGCCCAGCATGTCCTAGGCGGGTGGCTCTAGGATACTCAGAGGTGAAAACTTCCTCTGAAAGCAAAAGATATGGGTCTTCCCTTAGCGGATGACAGAAGGGGAGGTGCAGAGAGCTAGTGCCGGTGAGACACAAGAAGGTGGCAGCTAAACCCAGGAGGGGAAAGATTAATTGTATGAATGGAGCTAGCTGACACACATGATAGCAGGAGTACTAGGTGTGAACTTACAATGGAGAGGATAAGATTCGTTCCAGACAAACCAACCCCAAGGGACACTGATCCTCTGCAGAGCCTTGCAACCCTGTTCATACTGACACAGATGCTGTGGATTGCATTGTGAGGAGGGCTTCCAAGAACTGTGAAGACAATGTTTTGAAATATGTCAGAAAAAAAGATTTTGTTTTAGCTAGAGTCTTTATTGCTCAGGTACTCAGTAAAGAAGTGTAGTGGGGACTGAGGCCAGTGGAAAGAGGTAATAGTGGTCAGGAGAAGACACTTAGGGAAGAAGATTGTTGAAGGAAAGGTTCCCCTGGTTGGCCTTCCTGCTTTCTGGCAATCACCCTTTTACAACTGTTCTACCTTAAGGACTGCGTCTGGATCATCGAGCTTAACTGTGTATCTTCCGTGAACTTGCCAGTCACCTTTTTATTTGTTGTACGTTTCTGGCCTCCAGAACATCCTAAGGCAGCAAGTCCCAGGTTGCAATTATGTGCTGTTTGAAAAGTCCTCATTGTTTGTTCTCAGCCTGCTGCCTGGTAATTCACTGGATGTCCCTTATATCGTATCCAGTGAGAAATATGAGAGAATTACTCTCTTTTTAATACTCATATTTTATTGTACTGTCCCTCAACATCTGTCGTGGTTTAACTCCAGCCAGCAAGTAAGCACCACAGAGATGCTCACTCATTTCCCTCGCTCCCAGTGGGATGGGAGAGAGAATTGGCGGGGAAAAAAAAGTAAAACTCTTGGGTTGAGATAAGAACAGTTTAACAGGACAGAAAGGAAGAAAATAATAATGATAATAATAGCAATAATAAAATGGCAATAATAATAATAAAAGAATTGGAATATACGAAACAAGTGATGCACAATGCAATTGATCACCACTCGCCAACTAATGCCCAGTTAGCTTCCAAGCAGCGATCCCCCCTGCAGGCCAACTCCCCCCAGTTTACATACTGGGCATGACGTCACATGGTCTGGAATACCCCTTTGGCCAGTTTGGGTCAGATGTCCTGGCTGTGTCCCCTCCCAACTCCTTGTGCCCCTCCAGCCTTCTTGCTGGCTGGGCATGAGAAGCTGAAAAATCCTTGACTTAGGCTAAACACTACTTAGCAACAACTGAAAACATCAGTGTGTTATCAACATTCTTCTCATACTGAACCTAAAACGTAACACTAATCCAGCTGCTAGAAAGAAAATTAACTCTATCCCAGCCGAAACTGGGACAGCATCTTAGTCTCAGGTATTTAATTGGGCATACATTTTGGGCAATGAATTTCCTACCTTAGAAATTTCTTCTCTTTCCTGTACTGTCAGAGTGGCTGGTTCATGAGGAGCATGTGTTTAATTATGAGTCTTAGGCTTTGTGCATATACGTAGTGCAATTGCATTAAAACATAGCTTGTCATACCGAAGATGATAGCCTTTATCACCAGTGTATCTAGAGATCTATTCAAACCTCAATGTTGCACTGTACGTAGTAGAAAGAACAAAACTCTGTTCCCATTTAGATGTATTCACTTATGCATTTTTTCCTTTTTTTTTTGTTTTGTTTGATTTTTGTTTCCCAGAATTAGCCTCAAAGTTAGAGCAGGTTGTTTAGACTCTGACCCTATCACACTGCTTGATAAATTATTTTCTCCTATGTGTAGGTATTTGCACTGTTCATAGCTCTGGTAGGCAAAGCAGCATACGTGTGCCAGAGACTGCTTATATCTCTTGGTTCTCTCCCAACAAGCTGTATGTGTGATCTTCCCTGCCCCCTATGATTTGGGGGTTTGCATGTGAGTTGTTGGTGACAAACTGTAAGCACCGTACTGTTTCACTTAGTTCAAACCAATTGACTGAGTGTTTTATTTCTTAGGCATGTGAAAGCTGGAACCGAGCTCACGTGGGATTATGGTTATGAAGCTGGTAGCATGCCAGAGACAGAGATTTCCTGTCAGTGTGGAGTTCAGAAGTGCAGGAAAAAAACCTTATAGGCAAAGCTTTCCTGCTGTCAACACATCATGTACGTGGATATATATATGCTGAAAGGGACTACTACACGGTGAACAGTACACTTAAGTCTGTGGTGCTAATTACATTCCACTAAAATGCCTTTCACCTGATCGTTTTTTAAATTTACATTTAAATGTTACTTTTTTAGTTTACAGAATTAGAACTGTTTGTCATAAGAACATGCATCAGACTTTTCCTAGATAATTTCTGTGCTCCTCGTCTTTTTTCCCTCCCTCTTTTCATTCACAAGGAAAGTTCACAGTGCGCTGGAAGAACTCATGCTTCTGTTCCATCTGCAGCAGAGACATGACTTTGATGTTTTCTGTGCCCTTCCACAATGCCAAGTTAGCAAAACTCAGTTTTCTGAAACTCAGTATGAATGCAAGTCTGCCTGTTTGGGGGACTAAGAATTATTAAGATATACCCAAGCCTAATGGATCCAGTGGGACAGATAGTCTCGAACAGAGATGAGATTTATTAGAACAGTTTTGCAGAGCTGTGTTTGTGCTACAAAATGAGCGGGGCAAGTCCTGCTGCTGCAGGAGAGAAATGACTGGTTTTTGTTGGGTTGCATCCCTGTCCGTATTTGTGACACACAGAGAAATCCTTGAGAAATCCAGTGTGCCTCATTTCAGTGCCATATTGTATAGTGTGGGACAGGTGGGCCACAGAAGTCCTTGCCATGTGGTTTGGTGGTAAGAGAGAAACAAGCTACATTAGGTGACACTAAGTGCAGTTGCAGGAGGCAGCTCTGAAATGGAGCAAGGGATGGGTGTGCAGTTGTGTGGCTTTTGAATGTGTTGGAGCCTTGTGCAAAGAACGTGGTGTCACAGATGGACGATTTAGACCACTTGAAGAACCACCACCAAAGGTATTGGCAAAAGTGGTTTTATTGAAGTAAGGTGTTGTAGAAGTGAGACTTAACAAAGTTTGATGGCAAGGTTCACTCTGTTACTGCGGAGTGTATAATAATGATTCAGAGTTACCAACACAAAATCAAACTTACCAATACAAAATCTAGTGCACTACAATACAAGGTTATGTGTGATACCAGTCACTTACCAAAGATCTGCAGTTGGTAAGGGGTCTCTCAGCCTCGAGGAGTAACCTTGAGAGGCGTCCCAGCTCAAGGGGCGATCTCTGCCGTGCAGCCAGCTGCTTAGTAGGGAGAGCTCAAAGGTGGCTCACTGAGGCTGTCATATTTATGGAACAAAGTGGTTGGCTCGTAGTCAAATTACACACAGTGAAAAGGAATGCATGAGACTCCTCGTACCCACAACTTTCTTTGTTCCTTGATAAATGAGTCTTGGAAGAACCACCTGCTATTCATGTGTTAATCGCATGGTTAGTGTTCCAGTTTCCAAGCCCACATGCATCGATGCTCACCATGTCAACCTGTTCCTGTGTGGGTTTTCAGAGAACAGGTTGGAACTAGAGAAGTTCTTGGCCCCGTTATGGCCGAGGCCTTTGCTTCCTTTGGAGACTGAACCACACTACCACGAGTTTGGTCAAGGAGTCGAGTGCATCTGTCACAGGTGGATTTGAAGCTGGCCCTGCAGTTCACCTTACCTTCACTTCCTGAATTTGTGGGAGGCTGTGCATGGCAGATCATGCAGAATTGTCTGATGATATTTGCTCAGCCATTAGCAGATTTTGTCACTGGATTTCCTGTTTTACAGAGCAGAGAGACGTACTGTTTGCAAGAGTTAGTGATGATCTAGGCAATTGTATATGGGAGCGAAACATGCCTGTGAGAGACTGCCATGGCCATGGAGTAGAGATTTGAAGCCTACAGCTATACTGCAAAATGAAAGAGAAGCAGGAACCAGTTCTTGGTGCTCAGGCCAAGAGGCAGCGGATGGTTTCTGTCCAGATGGCTTAGGGTTAGTTCTCTTTTAATTGGGTTGCATCTCTGCTGTGTAACTGTGGACAGACACGGTACCTGTGGCCCTAAGCTGTTTTTTGAGTTTGTTTTGGATGCTTCAAGCTTAAAAAACATGGGTTTGTGCTGCAACACACGATGGTCTGGAATTTCTCAACAGTCTCAGCATGCACGACGAATTTAAGCCTGTTAAATGGACTTTTAACAGAGATAACAGACCTGTGAACTACGCTGCTCGCAGTGAAACCTTAACTCTTCTGTCCCACAGCCCTGTTTGAGAGCTTGACATACCCATCAAGCAAACCCCTCCTCAGCTTTTGTCCCAGTTGTCGCACTACAGGTTTGTGTGTGGTTTCATCATGCATCTTCAGGGCTAAATGCAAAAGAGTTGGGTTACCCCCAGTGTTGGTGCAGTACCCCTTCAAAGGGTCAGAGCCACCCATTCTTGCCCTTATCTGTCCCCTTCCACCCCTCTGTCACTGAGGAGCACCACCATGTTAGCAGCAGTCAGCATTCAGCTCGGTTGCTTCTTGCTTCATCAAAGATCTGTCTCTGCTCAGTTGCAATATGCCTTAGCATAACGTTGTGCAATGTAAAAAATCTCCAGAGACGTGCAGAACTGCGTGGCAAGCCCACTGGTAATCCAACACTGGTGTAAGCCTTTTAAACAAGTGAGGGCGTGGAAAATACGTGTCTCTGGGCTCAACTTGGATGTGGCAAAGCAGATGGGAATGTCATTAAAGCATCAAGGGGGAAAAAATGTACATTTTACTGCTGTTGATTATATTTCCCAGCTCAGTGGTAGGAATTATGGTACTGGGCTGGTGAGGAAAAGCTCTGTTTCTTGCTGCAGAATGTTGCTGTTGATATTTCAAAAGATAAAGCACACACTTGCTCTGTGTGGTCTGCAGCTATCCGAGAGCCTGCTGTCAGCATGGATTTTACGGTAGCTATGTGTATGAGACAGGGCTTTTGGGCTAGTGGTGTGTATCAGGTCTGTCTTTGGGCTGGTGCTTCTTCATTCTCCTCCATGTGAGGATACACGAGATACAGCGGTTACAACCCAGCTTCTAGTCCCCTCGCAGTCTGATGTTTTCGCTGCTTGTGAATCTGACATACCAGACCAGAGATCGTAACCTGTCCTCTTGTAAACTTACCTTACAAGGTATGTTTTCCACCTGTTTTTGTAATTTTATTAGAATGGGTTCTGCCGAAGGTGGCTGGCAGGTATCCTCTGCGGGTAATGGCTGTTGCAGTTGCGTAGACATGCGAGAGTGCTTATCTGAACTTGCTCGCTGCTCAGCTGTCAGTTCCTCTGCTTGCCTTTACACAGCATGTTTCTGAACGTAGTCCCTCGTGCGACCCCTGCTTTAGCAGAATATCATGTAAAAGCACCGAGCACAAGCACTGATGGAAGAATAGGTGGAAATGTTCCAAGTGAAACACTCAAAAGTGCCTGTGGAATGACACATTTGGGACTTGTCAGCCTGTCAGGGGTATTAAAAGAGAAGAGTGCCTGATGGGAATTAATTGCATTGAGACATGGAGCAGAGCTCTGGAAATTCCCAGAAGTCACAGTTTCTATTGACCTTCAGGGGAGCGTAGGTTTTACAACACTGATAGAGGACCAGTGGATTCGGGGGGAATTCTGAAACCAGTTTAGGCTTTTTCAGGGTGGTACCTTGTTCCTATGAAACGGTGTGGTCCAGCCATGCAGCATGGATGTTGGTGACTCTCACGGTGAGCAGGACTGTCCCAACAGAGGGACAGTAGGGATGTGAAGACATATAAGGGCTCCATGACCTACAGGGAAGTAAATATTGGCACCCAAAGTGAGCATACAAATGCAAAGACAGCTGAAGATCACCTGTGGCATAGGTATAAAAGAAACTGGACTGGAGCACATTACACTGATGACTTGGTTTTTTGCCAGAAAATCACTGAGTGCTCGTTTCCAGCTCCACCTATTTCAGCAGAACTATATGGCTCTGTAGAGTAGGGGTTTGGAAGAAGAGATCACAAGGGACTTGCAGTTGGTTTTCCTCCACAGAGAATTATTTTTTCTGTGTTGAAGAACAGACTTGTGTTAGGAAAATTTTCCTAGTTTAAGAGTTACGCACCTGTGAGGGTGCTTGAATCCAGTTTACTCATTTGAGTACCATCTAGATAATAAATTTGGGAATTGGTGTTGTGTAGCAGCATCTGGCTAATAGATGCAATCTAATTGCAAGCCTGGACGCAGGGGCTGACCTTAGCTCTCAAATGCTGCATCTGGGCAGGCGCAAAGGGATTTGGGACACCAGCTGAAATAACACCAGCAGTGCTGAAATGCCAAAGCTATTCTAGCCGGTAAAGGGAACTGATCTTAAAAAGCTCCATGTTGTGTTCGGTTTGGCCTCTGGGTGGGCCAGAATGTGCTTGTTATGTTGTGGCTGGTGCGCTGTATGGGGGTGGAAATCTAGGGTTTGTTTAATTATCCCGCGCAAGGCAGAGGAACTTCTTCACGTAGGCCTAAACCTTGGTCTCGCTGGCACCGTTTCACCTTAAGCTTCGAGTGGCTGATGTGCAAAGGGCTTGCAGAAACATTGCACCAGGGTGAAGCAGGAAGAGGCAATCTCTCAGTGGTGTGCGTTGTGTTGAGACCTGCAGAGCGACGAGCTTCTCCCAGCATTGGTTAATGCTTTTGCGGTTAGCTGGTGCGCG